CCCCCCCCCCCCCCCCCCCCCCCCCCGGCCTGCGTGGTGCTCTGCGGGGTCAGGGTCCACTTAGCTTCACTCAGTCCCTTTACTTTGTGTGCACTTCTGGGCCTCTGACCCACTTAGCCTGTTTCCTCCCCAGGCATTGGTGGGGCGACCTGAAAGCCTGCGCTTGTCACGGGAAGTCGGAATAGAGTTAAATCTAACGCAGAAACTTCAGATTCTCCGTACGCTAGGAACTAGAGCGAGCGTTATTTCCCCAAGGTCACTATCAGAGTTAGTTGGTGAGCCTGGAGACCTAAAAGAAAACGCAAGGCCTTTATGGAGGGAAGTCTGTTTTGACAAGGTTTCTCTGCAGTTCAGCTCCGTTCGGGCTGGCCTTGAACTTACTTCGTGAGGTCTTTTGACATCCAGATCAATCTTATTTTTGTCTAGCCACAGCGCTGTTGCCTGCTGTGTCTATTTCCATTTACTTACGCCCTGGGCGCTATCAGGAAAAACTTGAGTGCTCTGATCTTGTAAGAGGCAATTATTACATAGGCATTATGGGGATGTCGGTGTTTTATGCATATTTCTGGTCTTTAAAAATTTTACTTAGATTTTTAAAATTTAACCCAACAATTTTTAAGTTTTTAAACTTGTTACTTTCATCTTCTGACAAGTTTTGGGTTTGAGCGGTGTAGTTGTTGAATATATCATGTGTTACAGTTTTGTGTCTGGAGAGCTTATTTAGCCTTGAAATTTTATTCTGTGAAAAAGTCATTTTGATCAGTACATGAGTTGATACTGCTGGTAAGCTATCAGTGCCAAAGAAGTGTTGAGGGCTGGGGCATAGCTTAGCAGCATTCTTGCCTGGCAAGTGCAAGGTCCTCAATTCGATTCCTGCTATGAAAAATTCCACAAACAAAAAACGGATGTGTTGTTAACTTTTTTTTTTTTTGCCTTTTTGAGACAAGCTCTCACTATGCAGCTCAAACTGATCCTTGAGCTCACTTGTAGCTCAGGCTGGTCTCAATTCGCATAGATTCTCTTGCCTCAGGCTCCTGGGCTCTGGAATTACAGGCGAGCGCCACCATGCCCGGCAAGTAACATAGTTAAGTAAACTAAAAGTAACATTTTTGTGGGATCGAAATCGCCTGAGATAAAATCATTCCGCATTTTATGGAGTAGAATAATTGTGTTAAAACCTTTTTAAAATCACAAGATAGACCTTATCCCTATACAGTTTGCAAGTTTAAGGCCTTTAATTTCATGAAAAGAAAATAGGAGTGGAAATTTATCACTACAAACTCAACAAAAGTTAGGACTTTTTTTTGGTTTGAAATTTAAAATTATGGTATACAAAATGATTTGTGTAAAATTTCTGCCCTGTTTTGCAGGCATTTATATGCTTCACCAACACATTTTTTTGACATACTAATAGGTCAAGTCACTGCACTCTCCGTGGCCTAAATACTGTTGGACATTTGCTATGTTCAGGATTCCTGTCCTTCAGCACTTGTATGTTTGGAGTCTTCATAGGATAATAGATAAATAATCTTATATTAACCTCCTGTAAGCTGAAATAGACTTGATTCCTTAAGGGAAGGTTGATTATAGTTGTGATATTTGTGTAGTGTTTACAGAGGTCTGTATTGACTCTTTTCTGCATCCCTGTTGTTTGGCTACTGTAATTTCTGTGGTAAAGAGATATTCTACTTCCCAAGCTGTAACTTCTCTCTTTGGTCTTTGGAATGAGGGAATCCTTAAAGTGTCATAAGTGAGCAGATTGTGGATGGAACATAACATGCTTACAAAATACCAAGTTGGCTGATAAAAATATTTTACTAAATGGAAATTCTGTTCGATCTAAAATTTTTTTTTCCCCCAGAGCTGAGGATTGAACTCAGGCCCTTGCGCTTGCCAGGCAATCTAAATGTTTTTATCTGTCATTTATAACCTCAAATATTGAGATTTAATCTACTATAGTAAATATGTTTATATTTTTGTATTTTAGCACAGGTCTACAGGGTCTCGCTATATGGATTGGGCTCCTAGTGATCCTTCTGTTTTTAGCCTCCCAAATGCTAGGATTACAAGCACACACCACCATGCCTAGTCTAAAAATAAATAAATTTAAGAGGCCTGGGAGATGGCTTAGTAGAATAAGCTCTTTCCTGGCAAGCGCAAGGGCCTGAGTTCAATTCCCGGTTCCACAAAAAAAAAAAAGAAAAAGAAAAAGGGGGGGGGGGCGGTGCGGGGAGATGGCTCAGTAGAATAAGTGCTTCCCTGGAAAGCACAAGGGTCTGAGTTCAATCCCTGGTTCTGCAAAAAGAAAAAAAAAGTTTTCCAGTGTACTTTAAACTTACCAGCAATATTTTTGAGAAAATTATAGTAATCATTAAGGATGAGGAAAATTTAGTCAGGTAGTTGCAAATAAGAAATTTATATCACGTACTCACATAGAGAAGAGCCCCCTTTCTAGGTTAGACTAGTATTAAACTACTGGCTCCTAACCCAGTAATATCCTAAAAAGTTTATACACTACAACCAGTTCCATAAGAAATAAATTTTATTTATATATTTACTTTTTGCAGAACTGGGGATTAAACTCAGGCCTTTGCGCTTGCCAGGCAAGTGCTTATTCTACTGTGGTATTTCTCCGGCTCAGAAATAAACTTTATTAGACCCACAAATTAAGTAATGTTATTGTTTGTCTAGTTGATCTTTTGCATAGATTAATAAAAATGAAAGGCTGATTTAAACTTTTTAAATTTTTTGTACCTGGGATCCAGCTCAAGACCTTGCACTTGCCAGGCAGGTGATTATGCTGCTGAGCTGAGCTGTCTCCTGGCCCCTAAACTTTGTTGATAACATAGTTTAGTCATTTGTCTAAAGCCCATTCGAAATGTTCAACCTTAAAAGTCAAATTTTGGGTATTAATTTTACTTTTTAGAATGTCTGTCTGTCTGTTTGAGACTGTATCTAATTATGCAATTCAGACTGGCCTTGTACATGCTGAACTCCGGAGATCCTCATGCCTCAGTGCCTGGAATACAAGCAGGTGTCACGGTGCCCAGCTGAAATAAGCATTTCTTTACACATTGAAATGAGGCCCCTTAAAAAAAGAGTATGATAGTTCTTTCCAGCCTCAAAGGCTACCCTTACTTCATTAGATAATTCAGAATACATAGGATAAAGACAGATTTACCATCAGAGATTATCATGAAAAATTTGTTCTATTCATGCCGGGTTTAACTTTCAACTTTAACAATGTGTACCCTATGTATATTGCATGCAAGTCACCTACGTCTACTATGGTGAAAAGATTTAAAACCTAGGTGGAAGATTGAGAATTGAATATAATAGGTCGTTCTATTGTTACTGCTGTAATTTTGTTAAAGGATGAGTTTGAATAAAGACATTTCCCAAATTTTGGCTGATAGACTGGTTAAAGAGCTTTGAAAAATACTTAACATATGAATGGGTTTTAGAAAATAACCTTAGGTGCACTCTAGAAGAGAGTAGATCTTACCTTAAAACTGGAAGGGCTTTTGTTTCAATAAAGTATGCACTTGTACTTCATTTAATTTATTTATTTATTTTTTTTTTGGGTAGTAAGAATTGAAGATGGACCTGTAACAGTGAAGGTTTTGTGTTTATTAGCATGTAAAGAATGTGATTTGATATGAGGGGCCCGGCAGGATAGTAGGTTATTTCTTGTATGATTTGTCCAATTGCAAACTTTACTGTATTGGAAAATTGAGGTATTGCTTGTAGTTTTACTGAAGGAAGGAATGCTGGGAAACATCATTCCTGGGAGATGTGATAGTTAAAAGAAGAAATGGTAGAGAATTATTAGTGTAGTAAAACCTTCAGATGCAGACTTTTTTTTTCTTAATGCAAGAGTTACTTGATGTGGATAATGTTGAATTTTGTCCCTTAGCTTTTTTTTTTTTTTTTTTTTTGCAGAACCGGGAATTGAACTCAAACCCTTGCACTTGCCAGGGAAGCACTTATTCTACAGAGCCATCTCCCCATTGTTGAATTTTGTTAGCATTTTCTTCCTTTGGTGCTGGGGATTGAACCCAGCATGCTTGCTTTAAAACTAAGCTCCAAAAATAAAAAAAAATGAATAAAAAATGAAACTAAGCTCCAGCTCCCTGCCAGGTGTCTGTCTGTGCCTTCCTGTCTTTTTCTCTTGTTTGTCTCTTTTTTGAGACAAGATCTCACTTTGTAGTAGTGCAAATTGGCCTTGAACTCAGCTATGTAGCCCAGGCTGGCCTCCACTCTTCGGTGCAGTCCCTTTGCTTCTGCTGCTTGAGTGCTGGGCTTTCATACAGGTGTGCAGCATGACACTTGGCTGGGTTAACTCTCACAGAACAAAAACTCTATACAAGATTTTTGTCTTTGGAGACTAAACAGTAATTTTTAGGAAAGGAAATGTGCTGTTTGTGAAGGTTTTTTTTTTTTTAATAAAATTTATTTATTTTGTGTGTGTGTGTGGCCAGTTCAGCCCACCAGGGGGCGGGGCTGGCTGGCATGTGGTGCTGGGTTGAACCGTGGTCCCTGTGCTTTTGCTTAGCTTAGCTTGTTCTAAGTAGGTGCTTTAGACCACTGAGCCATCTCACCAGCCCTGTGAAGGCTTTTTATAGTTTAGTCTTTTAATTTCAAATTACTTTTTAAATGTACACTTGAAAATTTTTTATGTTTGTGCTTGTGTAAGGTAGAATTTTGGGCTGAACTTACTAGTCATTTAAGTTAAATCTTTCAGTCTATTGTTTGTGCAAAAGAAAGTATAGTGAAAATTTTAACAGTCATCTTTGGACTGAATTTCAGAAGGAGCAATTATGTGAAATTTAAGATTGGGACTTGATTTTGTGATGTTGCCACATAAAGGGATGCCTTTAGGGCTAGGGGATAGTAAATTTAGAAGAATTTTTGGTCTGTATAGTTACTTTGTTATGTATTTTCATTTTTAAAAATAAGCATTTAATTTTAGAACAGTTAGATATTTACAGAATTACTGCAAAGATAGTATAGCGTTCCTATTTATACCATATCCATTTGCTTTTTTTTTTTTGGTGGAACCAGGGATTGAACTCAGACCCTTGCCCTTGCCAGGGAAGCACTTATTCTACTGAGCCATCTCCTCATCCCCCATTTGCTGCTATTGAGCAGTTGGTATCAATATGTATTTATTCGAACTAATGAACTAAGATTTGACACAGTTAGTATACTACTCAGATTTCTTCAACTTCCTTAATGTCCCTTTCTGTCCTGGAATTCCATCTACAATATCACAGCATGCAGTCATGTTTTCTGAGTCTTCTCTTGGTTGTGACAGTTTCTTAGACTTTCCTCATTTTTTTAATGACTTGCTGATTTTGAGATGCACTGGTCATATATTTTGTCTTAGTCCATTTGTGTTGCTATAGCAAAATGCCATATTATGGGTACTTTATCGAAAACAAGAGTTTGTTCCTCTTATTTCTGGAGGCTGGAATTAAAGTGGTCAGTAGTTCTGGGGTATGGGTAAAGGCTGGCTGTCTCTGCTTCCAAGGCAGTGAGTGCCTTGTTATTTCTTTCCCTGAAGGAGACTAATGCTCTCCCTTGTATGATGGGAGGGATGGGAGAGCAGAAAAGGGTTTAGGTGTTTCAGTTCTCTAAAAGCCACTGATGCTTTTATGATGGTGGACTCCTTGAGACCTTGTCACCTCTTGAAGACTTTACCTCTTAATTCTGTTGCATTAGAGATGAAATATCAACATGAATTTTTGAGGGACATGTACATTTAAACTTTTGCATCTTTCAGTTGGGATTTTATATTTTTCATGTTTAGACTGGAGTAAAATAAATTTAGAGATGCTATGTTCATGGATTGTAAGACTCAATATTGTGACCAGTTCTTTAAAATCCCTCTTAATTAATTAGCTAACCAATCAGTCTTTTTATTTATTTATCGTGTGTGTGTGTGTGTGTGTGTGTGGCCAGCTCAGCCCACCGGGGGCGGGATTGGCTGGCATGTGGTGCTGGGGATTGAACCGCGGTCCCTGTGCTTTGCTTAGCTCAGCTTGTTCTAAGTAGGTGCTTTAGACCACTAAGCCATCTCACCAGCCCAACCAATCAGTCTTTGAGATAGGGTCTTGCCATGTAGTTCAGGCTGGCCTTGAGTTCACTTTGTAGCCCAGGCTTGTCTGAACTTGCAGTGATCTTTCTGCCTCAGCTTCCCAGAGTGCTGGGATTTACAGGCATGTACCACTATGCCCAGCTAAACTCCCATAATAAATTTAGTGCAAGCCCATTCAAAATCCTGCACGTTATTTTGCATATGTTTACAAACTTGACAGTAAAATTTGTATGGAAATGCAAAAATAGTAGGACAAAGTTGAGGCACTCACTTCCTGATTTTAAGAGTTTTATTTATTTGTTTATTTTTTGCAGAACGGGGATTGAACTCAGACCCTTGCGCTTGCCAGGCAAGCGCTTATCCTACTGAGCCAACTCCCCAACCCCAAGAGTTTTAAAGCCTGTAATAAAGGAGACAATGTGGTATTGGCAAAGGCTATATGTAATAGTAGAAAATGAGTGAAATACAAAGCCCAGAAATAGACTCATTAAAATATAGCCAGCTAAGCCAAACATGGTAATGCATGACTGTAATCCAGTACTCTGGGAAGCTGAGGCAAGAGGATTGCAAGATTGAACCCAGCCTGGGCAGTTTAGCTGTTTAGTGAGATCCAGTCTTAAAGTATAAAAATGGGCTGGGGATGTAGCTCTGTGAACTAGCCCTGTGTTTGATCTCTGATGTTGCTTAATTCATTTTTTTAAAAAAAATTAGTATATTTTGGGTATATATAATGATCATATTCATCCCAGGGATAACTTTTTTTCCTATTCCCTTACCCTCACTTCAATCCTTCTTCTCCTTAATCTTAAAATAGTAAATGCAGTGTTTTTCTGTTTTAAGTTGTATAAACTGGCAAACATTTCATCAACTAGGTAAATGTGACTGTGAAGTAATATTTGAGCTTTTCAAGGTTGATGAGGTAGTTTTTCCCTTTATAATTTAAATTTCTGGATTGATTAATTTTTTTTTTTTTTTTAAATTTTTTTTTATTTTATGAGAGAGAGAGAGAGAGAGAGAGAGAGAGAGAGAGAGAGAGAGAGAG